TGTGAGCACCGCCAGCCGCTCTCTTTGCGAGGTGGCTCGGGCAAACGGGACCTTTAGAGGTGAGCCAGGAATCTACCGGGAGAGTCGGGAGCTGCGCCCGGCAGGAGGATCCATCCGATCCCCATCAGCAGCCTCCGGAGCGGGGCTGGCGGTGAGTGGGTGGGGGAGAGCTAAGGGGAGTCGTATCGAGATTCGGAATACGAAGGAGCCGCTCAGAGACCCTACGAGTTTGACGGAGGTCTGACAAAATAGGAATAAATGCTACGGGGGGGCTGGCTGCGTGGGGATGGTGCGTGAACAAAAAATAGCAGATGGCAAAAGGAAGTCAAGCAGCTGAAAAGACCTCTCTTGAATATGATATAAAACCCCATAAAGGATAAATAAACAATCATTAAAGTTAAGAGAATAAGATTCTCCACCTTCTTTTCAGAGTGGGAAGCAGTCAACAGGAGCTTTAAATTAATTTTAATGGAGGGAATCTGTTTTAGGGCTTACAATAAGCTAATAAATCCAAGGCACAAATCCGTGTAAATTCCTGCACTGTGTGTGGAAGGTACTGATTGTATTTTTTCAGATACTGCCTTTTGCAGTGCAGTGCTCAGCCAAATGGAAAGGGAGAGGTTCCTTACATGAGGAGCAGGAAAAGATACTAAAAGCAAGTCAGACCTCTCCTTCTCTACCTCCCTCTCCCTCCCTCATTCCTTCCCTCTCCTTCTCCCCCCACCTCTCTCTCTGAAACTGAGCGTGTGTGTTAAAGAGAGGTTTATTTACTGTAACTAACTTCACAGTGCTTGCAGGGAAATTAAACCAGTTTAGAGGTTGAGATTGATCAGTTCTTGGATTTAATAAACCCAACTAACCATACAAACCCCCCCCCCACAAATTTCCATGGACTAAATTCCTTGATGCATTCACTGACATGGTCCTTCTCCAAAGAAAGACCTTTACATATTTGTAGTTTGAGACAAAGCTAATGAATTATTTTTTGATATATGTGTTTTTGGAAGGAGAAAAGTTCATCCTGGCATTTATTTCAAAACTCCTTAAAGGTACTGTACCTATATCTCTATTCACCTTTCTTCTCTTTCTCCTTTGAAAGAGTCAATATATGCAATGTTATCACTGAGATATAAACTTTGCAACATGAAAAGGATCTAAACATTGCACAATAAAAAAAGACAAAACAGAGGCGATTTTAAAGTCATTATTTCTATGTGACAAAAGTGATGTCAGAATGTGAGTGTTGATCTTGTTTCTGAAAATTGCGTGAGGAGAGATTTCAAGAAGCTGTTTCAATGGTTGTTCTGTGTGCTGATATGGTAGCGAGGCAGTTAAGAGAGTTCAGGCCTGGAGTACTGTAGGTGAAACAAGTCAGAGCACTGTGCAAATACAGTGTCTGTAAAACTACCTGTGACTAGAACAGTCATCAGTGTTTTCCAAAGTCCAAGGCTTCAGCAAGAAGTGGAGCTGGAATGCACCCAGCCTTCTTAAGAGCTGCTCCTCATGCACAAATGCA